CCCTTCGGCTCCTTCGCTCCCCATTTCTGACTCCTGTCATTTCCTGACATCCGTCTGGCTCCCCTTCAGATCAGGAACTCCGGCATGAGACGGTCCCCCCCTCAAGCCTCTCCTTCTCCCCCCCTCAGGCGGATCGGAAGGTTCAAGACTCGAATTTGGGCCTTTTCCAACAAACTGGATGCAGTAGAGGAAGGAAAAGGCTGATCCGGAGCCGCCAGAGAGCTGGGCCTGGCTCAATGAGCCGTTCCATAATTTCCAAGAGTTTTTGTTCCTCCCCAGAAGACTTTTTGTTCCCCAGAGCCCCCCTTTCCCCCCCAGTAGGCCTGGCAGGTGACTGATATCAGCAAAAGTGGAGCTAATTAATAAAAATTGGAATTAAACTGAGGTCATAAATTGTTAGACCTACACTCCTGACTTTGACAAGCAGACTTGCATTCCACAACAGAGTGGATCATTAATCTCTGTTTTAAGTCTGCTAGTTGACCAGAAGGGGAAGATGTTGATTAGATAGGTAAATAGCCGTAAATAGCTGTCAAGCCCAGGGGGAATTCAGAGGAGGAAACAAGAAGAGAGAAAGCAGATGTGAAAGATAAGACTTAGAGGGTCATGGACACGGGCACCTATAGCTTGGAAAGGTGTAACGGTCTTTTGGGATAAGTGCACATGCTCTACTGTGTGACCAGTCATGTACTCTCTGGTGGTGATGCTATCTTTGAAAAGTATAAAAGATACACGTTTCCTTTGTTCGGGGCTCTCTTCTTGGGAAGGAGTCCTCAATTACTAAGGTGCCTTAATAAATGTGTAAATGGGTTTCTCGAGTCCATCTTTCATTGGGTTAGAGGACTGGGCTGAAACCACGGTTTTGTGGACAACATGATGGACGCTGTAGGAGGGCTCCAGTTTCCCTCCTGCAGCACCAGGTGGCCCTGGACTGTGGCCCCCCAGGAACAGGCTGAGCCTCCTCACCGCACCCCTGGGAACCCCCCCCCCCCACATATGGACAATCAGGTGGGCTGTGCCAAGGGTGCTCGTTCCACCACATTAGGGAGTCTGGACTGCAGTGAGGGCCTCTCGGTCACACGATGGGCTCCCCTTGATGATAGCAATTCCCAGTTGCGAGTCCCAGTTCCCACTGATTTTTGCTTCCCTCTCACTTTCCGTTGTCCCCCCTCCGCCTTAAAAGCCTTGCCCAGCCGTGCTCTTGATTCACCACCAGCAGAAGAAAAGCGTGGGGGGGGGGAGTTTTCCCCCTTTGTAGCCCTCAAAGTCTATAAAGAAATGTCAAGGAAGTAGAAAGCTATATTGCTGAATGACAGTGCAGTGCACTATTAAAATGCCACGCTTTAATTTTTTTCCAAAGGTCCAATTTTTCTAATAACAATAATCTTCCAACTTCAGTTTTCAGATCTTGGTACTTTGTGATCTTCAGCAGTTCTTTATCTTCTCTTCTACTCTCCCCCAGTGTTGCCACCTCAGTTATCCACACTTTCTCCTATTCCACCACAGTTACATTTAGTGTGTCACGTGCCAAGACTTTATCAGTCTGTATTTGGAAATCCCACAGTATTTTAACCTGCTCATGTTTGAGTACTTTTTCAACTATATGTTCCCACCAATTTTTCATTCCTGGCACATGACAATTTTTTCAGAGGTTCCAGTGAATGATTTTGGTGACTGTGTTATGTTGTTTATGGTCAGTGTGTGAGATCTTCTTGCGTGAGCTGAGCACTGTTTCTTCTGCTTCTTTGCACAATCTGCACTTTGAATCATTTGATGACTTTTCAATTCTGGCCTCAGCACCCACAGAAAAGAGCCTCCAGGCTCCTGCATCTTCCTACAGGCAAGGGCAGGAGACGAAGAAGCCGTCCTGTCGAACTCACTGGTCACTTCCATTGGGTAGAGGCATATTCTGTCTTCTG